ATCCTGTAATTAAGTCCCGGCTCCTGCCTCCGTCACAAGGCTCTGACCATCTCCTCCTATCCTCACGAGTCAGGTAACAGGATTAGACAGACGAGTAGATTGTGCGCATAAAAATGGATCGGCCGTGGGCAATGTCACTGCTGCACGTTATTAAAGAAAGAAAAAGAAGTGTTCCAGATAGATTACTTGCTATACTATATTACTATATAATTTTTTATTTTTTGGCAGCTGATATAATCATGTTTGATCCCTCTGCTCCGCACCAAGATGAAGGCCGGGACCGGCTCTGCTCGACGTGACAAAACTGCACGCAAGATGCAGCAATCAGTGCAAGCTTGGGAAGAGGCGCCCTCGTCTTGCGGCACATACCATCACTATGAACCATTAACCAGAGGAGGAGGAGATGGGAGGGGATAAGAATCGAAGTAGAAGACGGCGAGGACAATGGAGGTGATGGACAGCCATAGAGAGCGGTGACATGACCAGACAGCAACACTATACAGGACGCAAGTTCCCGATGTCTCTGGGAGACAAAATAAATTACAACAATAAAACAAAAGGCGCTTTTCCTGAGCGGACGTTTCATTTAGATAAACACTTTATCTTTTAATTACCTGAGAATGTCGGCGTTGTCGGGGTCAGTCCACCGAAAAGTCATACTCAAAGTTTATCAAAAGCCAAAAGTTTTGTGTTTTCTTTTAGCTTTGCGTAGAATGGTGAAGTTAAAACCTCCCACTTATAGGACCGCCCCCCATTTACAGAACCGCCTCCCATTTACAGAACCGCCTCCCATTTACAGAACGTTCTCCCATTTTTATGTCCCAATAAAGCGGAATTATTCTCTCCATTTGTCCCGGTGACCGTGATTAAAAATGAGGAAGAACGTCAACACCTGGCAACGACTAAGGTGATGTCTCATCCTCCCTGAGTTTTGGATATTTCTGGCTAAGGTCATGGTCCCCTGACCTCCTACCCCTGCCCCACCCTCTCGCCCCTTCCCTTGCTTTCTCCTCCTCACCTGCTATCCTCTAACATTTGATACTACGGTTATGCTCTCTCTCATGTTATTTCATCATTGGTTTACTTGGTAATGATTAGGAATTCACTGATGCCATTTTTTGTGGTATCGAGTACCAACATTTTTTTTTCCGGTACAGGTGCCATGTGCCCCGATTATCAGGAAAATCGGGCGGTGGATCATGACCCATTGCCCGGCTTCCTGATTGCCTAAGAAAGAACACCGGGTTCACTTGCCGAGGTTGCCCGACTAATCGGGAAGCCAGGCGGCAGGTCATGAGGTGCCGTCTGGATTCCTGATTGGCTAGGAAGTTGGCTTCACTTGTTGCTAGGCAGCCTGGCTTCGTGACCCATCAGGAAGCCGGGCAGCATGTCATGATCCGCCTCCCTGATTGGAAAAGAAGCCGGCTCCATGCTTTAGTGGGCTGAGGAGCCGGCTCCATGCTTTAGTGGGCTGAGGAGCCGGCTCCATGCTTCAGTGGGCTGAGGAGCCGGCTCCGTGGAAGCCGGCTCCTCACCCCACTGAAGGGATCATCTTCAAATGAATGGAAACGACCATTCAGGTCAGGGCGGCTCTAAGACATCCACGTTTGCTGAGCAGAGGATGGTTGGGGCATTTTAACATAAGCCGGTGTCAATGTAATGTTTGAACAACTTCTATACACTATGCATGCGTATGGACCTCAAAATACCTTTTTATATGTTCAGCTGGAGAGCCAAGGGCAACTAGTATTTTCAGAAAGACAGCCCCCCTATTTATCAGATGACACCGTTTCTTTGGAACCCTTCTTGTGCAGGGGGAAAAGGAAAAAAAAAATGGTAAATATCTAAAACTGGGGCAAATAATAAATCTTTAGAAGATGCTAAAGAGTTTTTTTTTTTTTAGTCATCTTGGAAGCCCTTTGCATCCCCTTGAAGCTGAATTCCAGGCAGAGAGATAAATACAGAGATGGAATGCATATAAAAAGGAAACAGTTTTAGCTTTGTAGGTTTGCATTCCTGAAATTGCCGCTGCTCTGCCATCCAGTACAGACAAGTCGGTGACCCCCAACGTCTTTCTGCTGAAGTTACACAATACATCTAGGTCGCCTCCCTGCCCTCAGCCTGTGACGGAGCAGCAGAAGACTGATGAGGTCATCGCTGCTCACTCCTTCGTGTCAACATGTTCCTTGTCAGCACGTGCATCCAGAGCACCTGATAGGCCCTCAGTGCTGCCCCTCCCACTCCCAGAGTCATGCTGTACAGATATCCGACATGTCAAGTTCAGGTACATACGAGGCCACATACAGCGGTCTCAGGGGAGCGGTAGACCATACGGCAAGTCTGTACATTTTCGTTAAGGACTCATTTACCTTTAAGCGCAATATGTTGCACGTTATGTGCGCTGTATCAAGGCAGCAGATTCAAATGAAAGAGCTGAAAATGCCACAAAATGCCCGAAATAAACTAAAAATCATGCGACACAACCCACTATTGTATGCTGCGGAGGCCTGCAGTGCTTGTGAATTGCCTTAGTGCATTGGGGAGCCATTCAAAATGAATGGTGCAGCAACACATGAATGAACGTGTCTTGCCACGCCTTACGCGATTCAATAGTGTAAATGAAAATAAATAATAACACGTTATATGCGTCAGTGTGTGTTACCCCAATGCAAATTTCAATGGGCCCTTAAAGCTACACACTCACACCAAAGCCAGAGACACAATAATAAAATATGATTGTACAAGGAATTCAAAAAGAAAATGATTATTTTTTAAAAGAAAAAAAAAAAACACATGATCACGCAAAAAGCATCTTTAGTGCGCTGAAAAAAAAAAGTGGAGCTTCCCTTTAAATGGTCTGAGGCGGCGATTAGTGGAAAGCACAGAGCTCCGGGTGAGCAGAGGCAGCGGAACGTGCGCAGCATCCGTAATGCGGAGCCATTCCCTCCATCCTGCTCGTGTTTGATGAACGGGAGGGGGAAAAAAAAATAAAAAAAATACAAATAAAATCAAAGTGTGGACGGGTCTGGGCTAAAATTACTAGAGCAGAAAAGCTGAAATGACAGGTCTGTGGATAGGATGCGAAGGAGTGGGGGGGAGGGGCATTCTTGTGAACGAAGAGGGGTACAGAGCGTCCTCATTAAGATCACATGTCTTCATTGCGCTTACTACATGCATGAGCGCAGTATCCAATTCCAGGCTTTGGGTAGAAAGGGTCACAAAAGGGCGTCACGTCCTCCTTGACCCAACTAATAAAAAAGGAAATGTTTGTATCTTCACAGCCGGAAAAGATGAAAGTAGAGAAGGTTGTAGGAAGTGAACATTGGATGAGGTTCTGACCATCGGAGGAGAGGATTCCGATACGCACAGCTGACATTCTATCTAGCGCACTCTGCGGGGGGTATCCGAGTCCAATGCTGCGCACAGACAAGGCGAATTCTCGGCTAGAACAACTTTTTGGTTGAAAATGATACAAAATTGCCATTTTATTTTATTCCAGGCATTTATACGGCACTGACGATTCATGCAGCACAGGGCACACCAGCGTCTACTAGGGATGCACCGATACCATTTTTTCGGTATCGAGTACCGATATTTATCTTTCGGTACTCGCCGATACCGAGTACCGATACCGGTGCTTCCATTAGCATGGAGCCGGCTTACCAGGCAATCAGTCACCGTCCCCACAGGGATCCCCCCGGGCTGACTGATGGAACGGACAGGGGAGGGGGCGGGCACAGCTGGCTCTGTCTCTAGATAGGCTCTCAGCGCAATAGAGCCGGCGGATCGCTTGTATAAGGTGCCTGTATGTATATTACATCACTTCCGCATTCTCGTGTCACTCTCCAGCTTCAGACGCTGGAGAGAAGCTGATGACGCAGATCTGTGCTTCATCAGCTTCGTTGGTGGGTCCCTAGGTGACATTAGGGGTCTTGGAGACCCCTGATGCGTCCATAAAGAGGACCTATGTCTCAGATCCAGTAGCACTCCTTAACGGAAATCCCAAAAAGGTTTTCGGGTGCTCGAAATGACAGCGGATGATATTCTGAGTGGCAACTATTAATAAATGGATTTGCACTGAAGTTTAAGCTTCTGTCGAGCTGGTGACATTTCTACTCAAGATCATAAAGAGGACCTGTCACATATCTTTGCCATCACATAGGAGGCTCGCACGTTACATATCGCCGCGAACGTCGCAGTGAGAGCAATAATAGGACCATTAATCACTGAGAACACTAAACTGATGAGTGGGAAAAGCTTTTAAAGCGTCGGCTATGGTCAGTTTTGGGTATGGTAGTTTTTTGCCATTTCGCGGGCGCGCGCAATTTTAAAGCTTGACATGTTTGGTGTCCATTTACCCGGCATGACCCCTTCTTTTATATTTTACCAAAACATTGGGTAATAATAATTGTAATAATAACCCCCCCCACCCCCCAGTGCTGATTAAATACCC